TTTATTTTAATTATTTATAAATTTATTTATAAATTTATTCATTTAAATATTAAATAAATAAATAATTATATAATGTAACTGGCTTATGTATTTATTTAGTTGTATATTTAATTTCACAATTGTTACAAAATGTTATTTAAATTATTTTTGAAATTTAGATTCAAATAAAGTTTTCACAAATTAAGTTTATTTCCAGACTTTCTGAATTATTATTATTGTTTTCTTTCATGTCAATAAATCAATAATTTGTAAATTCACAATGAAAAATACAATAAAGAGAGGACAAATAAAAAGAGAGAAGCAATCTTGTAATATAATTAATTATATATTTTTACATCAGTAATATTTATTTTTTATTAGATGACGTAATAAATAGTTTAAGGAATTAAAACAAATTTTTAAAACTATGTATTACTATTACTCTTAATACTATTTTACTTAATACTACACTACATACTTGTACAATAATAATAAATATTTCTAGATACTTATGAGAGCTTTAAGAGATTTCAATATACCAAAAATTGTAGCAGATGACACTTCTATATTTTTGGGGCTAATTGGTGACCTATTTCCATCATTAAATGTCCCAAGAAAGAGAGATCTTAAATTTGAAGAAATTGTGAAAAAAGCAACTATTGCTTTGAAATTGCAACCAGAAGAATGTTTTATTTTAAAGGTGATTATATAAAGTTTTCAGTTTTAATTATATAAGATGTAAATAAATATTTTGAAATCAGTATTTTTAATTGTATATTAATTATTTTTACAGGTAGTACAACTTGAAGAATTATTAAAAGTTCGTCATTCAGTTTTTGTTGTTGGGAATACAGGTACTGGAAAAACACAAGTATGTAAAACATTAATGAACACATACAAAATTCAGAAACTTCATCCAATTTCATACAATTTAAATCCAAAAGTAGTAACAAATGATGAATTATTTGGTGTTGTAAATCCTTCTACTAGAGAATGGAAAGATGGTAAGAAAATCATTATTAAAATTAAACTTTTTTTTAATTTATTAAATTAATCTGTTCCTTCTTATATTTATTATTATAATTCTTTAAAACAGTTAACATAAATTTCATTTTCAATATTGAACTATAAATTTTATTGCTTTATTTTAGTCATTATTTATTTAGCCTCCAATGTAAAAACTAGAGGCCTTATGGTTTCTAGAATAGTTTGAGATTTTTATTTTTATCCAGTCATTCCTATTTTTATTAAATAAGAATGACTGTACTATAAGTTTGAGATTTTTCTTATCTCAAACTTATTTGCTTTAGTTTTTTATTATTTTTTTATAATGCCTTTTTCAGAATGCTTTTAAATGCCTTCTTTCTGATTCCATTCAATTGAAATGATATTTACTTGTAGAGTTGGCTAGAGCAGAGAGCAGGCTCTATTAATCAATAAATGAGATGCATTTAAATTAGAATTTCTGAAATTTCTTTGAACATAAATTAAGCAAAAAAATATTTTAATAGTTTATTTTGTACATACCTGATTATTAAAATGTGTGTGTGTGTGTGTGTGTGTGTTAGGAACAGCTTCTGGAAGAGAGCAGTGTGTACAAAAAACACTCAGGCCCCAGGTTGAACATGGAACTCTAGAAATGGGAATTAAAACTGAATAAAGGAAAATGAAAAGTTTTGTGAAGTTAATAGGCTAAAGTTAAGTTTATCTTATAAACCTGTCCTGAATTGTCCAGTCTAGAGTGCATGCACACTAATAACTGTTATTTTTATTTTACATATTTCCTATACCATTTGACACATATTCATATCTGTCAATTTCTGGCCTACTTACTATCTGTGGTCTACTATTGCCCATTAAAATCAGAACTATTAATTTATTGCCCTGCTATGCTTATACTGTAAATCTATAAGTATTTTGTAAATATGATATACATTGTTTTTTGTTTGCTTTTTTGCATATATATAATGTAGAAATAGTAGAATATTTGAAACACAGTATGTAATTTTCAATTTTTATGTTGTGCAGTACATTAGTTGGCATAATGTTATAAATCAAGTTTATTTAGCAAGTAAAATTACACAAATTACACAAATTACAGACATTTCCAAAGAAACGTCTATTTTAGACAAAACACTAAATTATTCAAACATCATCACTCAGAAGAAGTATTTGATAATAGAGACAACAATTACAGCAAAAAATTTAGATATTGAACCTGTTTGTGAAAAACAGCAAATCATTCATCCTCAGAGAGTCAAAAGATAATTTTTTTTATATATAATTCACAATATAATCATAGTCTTAATTCTATTGTGATTAGACTACATTGTGGAAAACTTGAAGTTGAATGCTTTTATTTAATGTTTTGGATCATGGTAAAATATATAGAAAGGAGATTTATGGGAATATTATAAATTTGAATATTTATAAGATATTGAAAATATTAAATATAAATTTTACAAATGTAATGAATCTTCTGAATATAACTTGTTTATTATTTTATTTTATTTTCTTCATTGTTGTTTTTAGTGAAAATATTTTGTTTTTATAGTTGAGAAATATTTCAAGGCCCCAAAAAATTCCTTGCATCTGGGCCCCTTTCTGGAGAAGGCCAGCCCTGATATATATAATTTTTGTCCTGATTCACTTCATGCTAATGAGTTGGTGCAACTTTGCTTTTGAAATTATCATAGAAATTATTCATTACAAGTATGTGTTTTAAAAAATCCTACATTTCAATTCTTTTTCAACAGTTGTTAATCTCACTTCTGCAAATATTTTTATTAATTAAACTTCAATTAGAACTCCCTCTATTTTTCTTATATAAATAATCTATAAACTTAAAGGAAAAATGCTGCATCTTTGTACAAATTACAATTCTTATACAAGAAAGTTTTTTATTAATGCAACATCATATTGAGATTGCTGGTAATAACAAAAATATTAAAAATAAAATGTTTTATATCTAAAATATATTTTTTAAATGATTTTTAAACAAAAATTCATACAGATTTAATAATTTAAACAGGATTATTTTCTGTTATAATGAGAAATCTAGCCAATGCTCCTGGTAATGGTCCTAAATGGATTATTTTAGATGGAGATATTGATCCGATGTGGATTGAATCTCTTAATACAGTCATGGATGATAATAAGGTAATTATATTTAAATTTTATGAAAACTATCTGAAAATTATTATAATATAGTAATTTAAATAAATAAAATATAATTGGCATTAATCCTGTAATGTATACATTTTCTTTTTGTGTAACGATAAATATATGTTTTGTCAGTGTTCAATATGAATTCTCCATTAATCACATATGTTCGATTAGATACAATTTACACAATTAAATTTAGAAATGTGCACTCAAATTTAATCAAGTTAAAATAAATTTTTAAAAATACTGTAAATAGTAAATAAATAAAATAAATTTTAATAAGTTATATCAATCAATCAGTTTTATTTATTTAGGGTTATCTCCTATTATCACCTACAAAAGAAAAAGTTTTTACAAATAGGAGAAAAAATTCTTACAATTGAAAAAACTTTACAAATCTTTTGATTGGAGTTAGAATAATTAAATATTTATTTAACAAGTTTAACCTAAATAGCATAATATGCTTAAATAACAAAATACAAATATTTTAGTCACAACTGAGGTGATTAAACACTAATTTACCAAATATCACATTTTTTTATGTTTGGATTGTTAAGAAAATAATGAATAATAAATCTTTTCTTGAATCTCACCAAATAATTCTTTTCTTTGTTCTTGAAACACTGTGCAGTATGAAAAAGGTGGTCAATAGAATTTTGAGGGTCTCTACAGAATATACACAAATTTAGATGTAAAAGAATAATTTGAATTTTGTATTTAATGTGAAATTTATTCAGTCTAATTATTAGTAATATAGATGTAGCTTCATAGTGAAGATTGTAATCAAGTATGTATTAAGTGTAAACTAAACATTTCAAATACCATGAGTGAAATACCCTTTCTTGGTCCAATTGACTACATCTAAGCAACCACCTTAGTTTAATCTGAGACTAATAATCTTGATAGATCTCACTATTCTTTATTCAAATCTTTATTTGAATAGCTTGCAAGATAACTTATTTATAATGTAAATGAAAAGTATTATGAACAATTATTTATTGTGACATCATCACAATGCCTGACTGCAATTTTAAATTTATTTAATTTAAAATATATACTTTCTGCCTCAAATTAGTAGTGGTTTGCTGCTGTACATCATACTTTTTCATTAACAATAGAGTTGTGCCAATCATCTACACCTTTCAGGAGAAAAGTTTTGAATTCAAATAATATAACTTGCAGTTTGCAATGGAAACTCTTATATAAGTAATTGGGTTCTCCTGCCATACGGTTTCCTTATCTGGTCTTGCCTTTCATCTATCTAACTCCATTTTCAAGATTAGGGAAAGATGGATGGATGGATGACAGTAGAAATTTATAGGTCTATAATTTTTTCAAATTGCAGCCTAATGAAAAACAAAGATAAGAAAAACAAACCTAAGTGTTTAAATTTATCAACTATCTCAATTAATGTCTCATTTATTTATCAAATATTCATTAGCATTCGCCTTGCCAAAATGTCATGATTTTTTTATTTATTAATATTGAGTATAAGGTCTTTTCTATTGCAATATTCAGAAAGCTTCTAAATTTTTTGTTTTGTAATTCCATTTTTATTCTCAAAAGCAGCACAACACAAAGTTCTATGTAAATTAAAAAAGAAAAATTAAAATTATCTAGTACCATTATTTGCACCAAGACAAATTATCATTATTGAATTCAACATGACTAGAAATATAATTATATTTTCCTTAACAGTTTTCAAGAGATACTGACATTGCTGGTTGAAAATGCTCAATTTCAAGCAAAGTATTCCCTGGGATTGGTTTTTCAAGATCTTCAAACCAATTCTCTCTGAGTAAAGAACAATATTTCATTTTATCTGTTAATTAAAGCATTTGTAGCCATAGTTTCCACTTATGGAAAAGGACCTGTCTTGACTGGTTTGAAAAATTTTAATTATATTATTTCTAGTAAATCCAACTCAGTTTCTACCAGAAAATGATCTGGAAATGAAATCTTAGTTATTTTGAAAATTACACAGTAGTGCACAAGAGCCATCAATAGGATATTAAAATCAATAACAGATATATCTATTTTAGAGATGTAGATGAAGTTCATATGGCAATCAGTCAATCAAAAAAGAAGCTCATTTAATACAAAAAGCCAGTTTGTCTCCAGGAAATCACCAAGAATCACTCTATGAGAATTTGTTGGGTTCATGACAGTTGGGCAATACACAATGTGTGACTTTCATTTGGGTGACAGAAACGTAAAAATTTTTGTTCATTTAGCAAGCATATGCTTATATATATATATATTATTTCCAACTTAGGAAAGAAAATGTTTTGGAACAATGTACTGTAGCATCATTAATTATTGTATGTCAGAAGTGGTTAAATATTCATTGATGTCTAATTGATAAATTATTTCTGTAATATTTAAAAGTTTGAAAGCCTCCAATTCTCACATTAAAATCATTCATCCATATTAAATTTACATTATTCTCCCACATAATCCAAAAATTTCTTAACAGAGGAATTATAGATTGTGTAAGGAGGAAAATAGAATAATATAAGATTGTCAATAATTACGTTTTTAGTTATTAGCACAACTATATTATTAGTCTTGCAACAATTAAATATGTTTATCCAAAGACTTGTAAGGCAATAACAGCAAATCTCTTTTGGTTTGCTCTGAACCATAATTTGATTATATTCAAGATGTATCCCTTTCACATATTGTAGCTGAAATAAAAATTTCTATTTTTCCACTAAACCTGTTATTGGATATTTCTGTAGATTAAAATGATAAAAACAGGCCTCGGAGTCGCTCACTTTTCTCACTTGTACTCACTTTTCTGAAGTATCCTCACTTTTCTCACTTTTTTGGTCATTTCTACGTGCTTAAAAATTAGGAAGATGTGGGACTGATCAAAAATAGTTTTAAAGCCAGACGATCTGCCGAATTATCGAACTATCGGACTAGATTTTTATGGAAAAAAATACTCCGTCCGAGCGGGACTCAAAATCGCAACTGCCGCTCAGTGTTGTTAAGTTATCGTCTGTATTTATACGTAACTAGGTAGTCAGTAAGGCTGTGTACACACTAGGCGTTTTTAAACGCGCGTTTTAAAGAACCAAGAGTTCTACATAGGCGTACACACTCAAACGCGCGCTTTTG